GCACCGCACAGGAGGGGTGTCAGCCCCGGGGCAAGTGCGTGCGGGGCTTCCTTGCACCGGGGGTTTGGCCGGCCCCGGGGCAAGCGCATGCGGGGCTTCCCTGTGCTGGGGAGGGGTGTGTGTGTGAGATGGGCTGAAGTACGTGCTGGCTTGGGGGGGGAGAATCCTGGGAAGAGACAGATACAGGGGACTCTCTGCCCCCCCCGGTCCCCCTTCCCTCTCCCCCCTGTCCAGTTCCCTCTCCCCCATTCCCTCTCCATAGCCACAGAACTGTGTCCCACCCCCGTGTCCCCATTCCCCTGTCCCCAGCCCCAGAACTCTGTCCCCTTCCCCGAACTCTGTCCACACTCCCCTGTCCCCAGCTATAGAACTCTGTCCCCACCCCATCTCCATCCCCACTCCCCGAACTCTGTCCCCACTCCCCGTCCCCATCCCCTGAACTCTGCCTCCATCCCCACTCCCCTGTCCCCAGCTATAGAACTCTGTCCCCACCCCATCTCCATCCCCACTCCCCGAACTCTGTCCCCACTCCCCGTCCCCATCCCCTGAACTCTGCCTCCATCCCCACTCCCCTGTCCCCAGCTATAGAACTCTATCCCCATTCCCCTCCCCACTCCCTGAACTCTGTCCTCAATCCCCTGTCCGGAGCCACAGAACTCTGTCCCCACTGGCACCCTGTCCCCTGCCAAAGCACCCACTAGCACCCTTCCCCAGTACTATGCCCTCTGTTCCCACTAACACAGTTGGGGCCACAGTAGTGAAGCGGGGGTGGAGGAGGGTTTTTTTGCATCTCACTTGTGTGGCCCCAGCTGACTTTTCTTGGGTCAGTGACCCCTGACTCAAGACAGGTTCCCTGCCCTTCTCAGAAATAAAGACAACGCAGAAACTTTTTGTTTGACACAGTATTTTATTTTAAAATGAAGCCTGGCCAACAAACCCCAAACTGGGGCCAAGCCCCCATCTGGCCACAGCATCATAACACTCCTGTGCTCCCCTTTCCCTTAGACCCTACATCTGAGCCTATCATACACTGGAACCCCCTGCCCTGAGCCCCTCAAACGTCCAGAAGTCGGTGGCTTGCTTAGTACCCTAACCCTCCATCTGACCCCAACACTGCCCGGCCTGGCATCCTCTCCTTGAGCCAGTGCCCCTTATCCGTCTTCTCCTGCATCCAGATTTTCTCCCAGAGCTTGCATCTCTCACTCCTTCCCACACCCAAATCCCTCATTCCCACCCCAGACCCTACACATCCTGTCTCAACCCAGCAAGTTTACGGCTAGACTGCAGGAGGAGGAAACTAGAGAGGGCGGAGCTTCAAGGAAGGGGCGGAGCTTCAAGGAAGGAGCAGGGCGGTAGATCTTGGCTTGTTCTGTCATTTTAAAAAGTGATCTTGGGTGTGAAAAGGTTGGAGACCATTGCTTTAGGAGATTTCGAGGGAGGGTGGGGGGAGATGGAGAAGAGATGCTGGGCAGGAGCTGCAAAGAGAAGACTTAAATCAGCAGTGGTATTGCAGGACAGAAGAGACTGGTGCTAGATTGCCGGAAAGAGAAAGGGCTCAGGCCAGGAGGAGGGTGGAATAAGTCTCACAGGGGGAGGGGGGGTTTGGTTTGGGTTTGTTTGAAATAAGGACATTTTGAAATGGTTGGGTGGTCTTAGTAGCTCACAATGAGTGTGAAATACAGCACAGCCACATGTCAGAGCAAGGAGCTGCAGTGTGGAAAGCAGCGAAGCTGTGGTGCACCCACATGACTGAAACTTGTCAGCTGTTCTGGAGAATACTGCCCATTAGTTCATTGTTTGTGATGTTGTGCGGGAAACAGGTAGAAGAAATGGGAACGCTGTTGGCAGAAAGCAGACCTCTCCCAATCGCAATATAATGCTATTACCTATTTTAGGCTGTTTTACTCTGGGTAAGCCCAAGCGATCTTGTTTTCAGTTTGATCTTGTGTTTCTGCCATTAGACGGCACCTTTCATGTACCTAGTAAACACTACCTTTTACTCCCATTAGGCGGGGTGCTGAAAGATGCAGTTCGTTGGCTGGGGGGGCTGGAGGAGGAGAAGAATAGGTGTTTCCTTTTTGGCTTTGTATCTTTCCCATGTATTTGCTGCCTCCTTGTGACGATACAAAAAGCTTATCAGTATGGTTCCTCTGCCAAATGGAGGGTAGCATTTTCATGCTTTAGAAAAATCAGATCCCTAGTTCTAGGTTTGAATTTGTATTTTTAGATTTTTCTCACATAGTCTTGGTTGTGATGTGAGTAATGAAAAACAAAAGGGGAGCTGTGATGTAGAACAGTGTTTCTCAACCAATGGTATGAGTATCCTTAGGGGGACTCGAGAGAAGTCGGGGGAGGACGTAAACACAACCGCAACTGAAATTTGGAGAAAGCTGAATTTTTGTTTTGAGTTTTACAGCACTTTATTATTTTGATACTTTTTACACCCAAAAATGTAATCGCCTGCCCGACTACGATTAAGTTGTTTAAACAAATATGTTGCAATGGTGGAAAAAATTTTGTGGGTCTGAAAACTGTAGGTAGTGGGGATATTTTTTTTTATTTGAAAAGGGGGTACTTTTATTAAAAAGAAAAGGTTGAGAAACACTGATTTCGAAAAGGGCAAAAGAGAAAAGCAGCATGTACAGTTCTAAAAGATTGCCTCGTCTTGTGGAGATGATTGTTTGCGGGGTCATGATATCCAGGTAGTTCACTGGGAGGGGGGGGACCCCCAAAAAAATGGGACAGATGAGCTTTTCAGTATGAGTTCCATTACTAATGTGTAACCACAGTGAGCCATTAAAGGAATGGCAGAATCTCCTTGCCCCAACCTACATATTTGTGAAGTTCTTGTTAGCTTCCCTAGTTATACCTGGCATTTCAGAGTGCAGACAATTCTTAACGATGCCCCTCATTTCCAAGAGAAAATTTCTGAAAAGCTCAGTTAGGATCTCAAGGAAAATCCATCTGAGGGGACTTGCCCACTCCTGACGGTTAACTGCTGGAGTGTCTAAAACTCATAGCACGTGCGCGCGCGCGCTCTCTCTCTCTCTCTCTCTCGCTCTCTCGCTCTCTTTTTTTTTTTTTTTTTGGGCGGGGGGTGGGGGTGAGAGGAAATCCAAGACAGCAGCTGTTCTTCATAAGCCAGCTGCCATGCATTTGCCTTCAGCTGAAGGTTGTTGAAATCAGCACTTTAGCCTGATGGCCTGACAGGCAGCTACGCTTAGTCTAGACTTTGCTTTGCCCCTAGACTAGTGTTCTCCAACTGGGGTCCGGACTCCTTGTGGGAGGTGAGGTTAATGGGGGATTGTGAGCTGAAAGGTTCCACCCCACACCTCTCTCTGCTTCCGGCATGTACAATGGTGTTATAAAGTGTTTTTAATGTATAAGGAGTGTTGGGGGGGAGTGGTCATACTCAGAGGCTGACTATGTGAAAGGGGTCATCAGGCCAAAAGTTTGAGAACCACTAGCCTGGATGCAGTCTTGAGAAGCATCCTGCAGACATTTGATATGATTTACTTAGTGTGTGTAGTAGGTGTTGCAGACAGGAAGAATAAAAGATACTTGACCCCAAAGACAGTAGTCTTGTGTAATCTTGTGTACAGTTGGAGGGTTGGGAATAGGCAGCATCCTGGAAGAGTGAAGATTCAGCATATTGTCTTAGTTCCACTATTTTTGTTTGGATGCTCCTCTGTTCTTCTCTACAGGGAGTCCTAGGGTGGGTAGGCCTTGGTGATGTAGGGATGCTTTGCCTTGAAGAGAGTTTTCAGGGTTCTCTGGGAATGGGAAACTTTGTTAGAGGAAAAAGCTGACCAAGCCTTTTGACACAGCATGAGTGCTATAGCATTCATGCTGAGGAAGCTAAGTGGAGCCTCAGGACAACCTCTGGAGCTCAAAAAGGTTCCTAGTCCATCATCTGCTTATGCCTGTTCAAGTGTGATGTATGCAAAAATTCATCTAGTCAAAATCTAACCTTGTTTGAGGGAGAAATGCCATTTACAGGTAATGCAGATTCTGTTCGTACACTTCACTGAATGTATCAGTAAGTTATTTTCCCCCCAAAATGGAGGGGGATGGAAGATATAAAATCATAAATAAACATTTACATGTGTGTACATTTCTTTGTCCTGACGGCAAGGAATTAAGCTGAATGTTTTAGTGGTGTGGGTGTGGGGCATATTGTTCTGTACTTGAATGAATGAATAAAATACATCAGAATTAAATGTCGGACAGATACTTCAGTAGTACTTTTCTGTCTGAAATTTTCTGAGAGGACTTTCGTATGATTTTTGCAGTAGGCTAACGTAAAATCAAAATTGAATGCCTTAGATTAAATGAGAGTTTTTGTAAATCTGGTTGTATTGGAAAATAGATGTCACCGGAGATGAAAAATGCAAAACAAATACTTCTTGTTGCAAGCCATAACAGCTAATGTAGATTGTCCATTCTTTTGTTCCTCCTTGCTGGGATTCAATTGAGGCTAGTGAAAGTAAGGTGTAAAGATGTCTGTAACAAATGGGGTATGCACTTTTTGTATAAAATAATTCCAATAATCATAGTTTAATTTGCAAAAATATTCTACTTAAAACTAAAAAAAAAAAAAAAAGGTTTGTCTCACGTACATATTGCATACTTAATGATTCCTTTTTGAGCTAACCTCTCATTTAAAACAAACATTACTAAAGATTGCTGTATGGCATTATTCTTATGGTTCACTTCTTGCATTCTTAACCTGCTGGTAGAATTTCTGAATGCTAATCATAGATCTGTCATTTGACTTGCTATGTGACCTTGGACAAGGCACTTTAACAACCTTTTAGTGTCTCCTGCATATCTCTGTAAATTGGGCATAGTACATAATGGGAATTAATATTTGCAAAGTGCTTTGCACTGCTGTAGCATTTTTTATCAGAGGACTAGTCTGGCCTTTATTTGTTTAGAGCTTTCAAATGCTGATACATTCCGAAAGGGAACAGTAAGTGTTTGTGTTTTCTCCTCTACAGTTGTTTCCTGTCTTTGCTCCTGGTAGCGGCCGTGGTGTGGAAGATTAAACAGAGTTGCTGGGCATCGCGACGAAGAGAGGCAGGTCAAATGACAGTAATGAATGCTCTCCTCTGACTGACTTTTTGCAACTTTTGTACATCATTTACATGTCCTTAGTCATATACATGCAGTATTTCTCTGCAGTTTAGCATACAAGCATCTGTTTGCAGAGACAGAGAATAAAATACATTGATTAGCATTTTGATTGCAAGCTATCCTAGGTTCCTGTCTTGGGTCTGCACTTCCGTTCATACGCTAAGTGTGACAGGTCAACATACTGTGTTCCAGAACCTCAGACCCCAGAGCTTGTAACCACAGTGTTTAGGAGAAATGTATGGGTTTTTTTAATCAGTTCAGAAATTTCTGAAAATCACAAACTTGCTTTTGTAGCTCATCTCCTTTGCTGGCGTGCTAAATGACAATTAGCTCCTGTCTCTAACTGCTTCTGTAGCAGTATGGCTCACTTGAAAGTTATAGACCCATGTCAGTGGTTTGAGGGAGAATATTGTCATTCTAAGGGGCAAAAATAGCTAAGAAAGTTAAGGCTCCTCTTTTAAAAAAGGCACACAGGTTACCATAGCATTGCTCCTTCTCCCACTTTGTAGAGATCCAAGTAGGTTCCCGTCAGAATATCACAGCACGCTTTTCATACAGGACATTGTCTCAACGACTTAATTACCTGCATCCTGCTTCAAAAGCCTTTTAAGTCTCCACTTGAAAGAGAATCCTCTGAACTGTTGTTCATGCTAAAATTCGACACTTTACACCTGAGTCTCAACAAAGGATCTAGTTATCTTACCCATTACAAAGATAGCTTCCCCAATTATCACCTCTAATATCATTAGCCCACAGACATTTACCTCCTCCCCCCCCATCCTCCTTCTGTTCTGAAATTTGATTTGTCCCTTTCATATGTGTTCATTTTCTAAATTGTATCCTTTGGTATATATGGTTGTGACAATTTCCTTCCACTATTTGATCTGAGGAAGTGGGTCTGGCCCACGAAAGCTCATCATCTAATAAACATCTTGTTAGTCTTTAAAGTGATGCATAGTCCTGTATTTTGTTTCTGATACATGTATGATGGCTTTTCACTGTACAGGCAGTCCCCGGGTTACGTACAAGATAGGGACTGTAGGTTTGTTCTTAAGTTGAATTTGTATGTAAGTCGGAACTGGTACATATTGTAGGGGAAACTCTAGCCAAACATTTCTCCAGAGCTCAGTTTTATTCTCCCACACCTCACTTCCCTCAGCCCTTTATTCTCAAGCTGAGGTGTCTGCTGAGAAAAGCCGCTCCACCTCTCCCTGGTCTGCTGGGGTGGGGGGGCGCTAGCTTCGCATCTCCCTGGTCTGCTGGGGGGAAGCAGCTAGTGCGGGGTTGCCTCACCCCGTTTGTAAGTAGGGATCCGATGTAAGTCGGATCCATGTAACCCGGGGACTGCCTGTACTATCTTTTGCCGTGTCTATTCATTGTAAATGTGCTACCTCTGTCTACAAATGCTTGGCTCATTGACTGCCATGTAGCATCATAACTTCCAGTTCAGTGAGTTGCTGAGGAGGAGTGTGAGGATCTTGTCCTAGACAAGGTGATAAAACTCCTAGTATGAAGGCTGAGTGTCTCCTTTGGTCAGTCAGGTCTCTTTACTTCTAATTTTTAAAAGTACAGATATACAGTGCACCTTTATGTTGTTCCCAAAGTAGAATACTAGGGAAGCAAACCGTAGATAAGACAATGTGGGATGCTATATCCCATATTGTGTCTTATGGATTTTATGATGGAGTGCAGCTATCATTGGAAAGGATTGATCCCCACATAAAATACAGGACTTGGAGCAGGTTAGTCTGGATTGTATTCTGAATTACTATAGAAACTTCCTTTGTGGCCATGTGCAGTCTCTCTCTGCTTTTGTTTCCCTGTCTTTTATAAGAGGAGTCATACTTACCTTTTGCAGGGTAGCAGCAGATAAATTCATAAACTTCTAAAAAGCACTTTTGAACTTAGGTGGGAAGTGCTATAGGCATATAAAGTATAATTTTGTTCTGGTGAAGTAGTTGTCTAAGTGTGTGACAGGGAAGGAAGAGGGTAGTGTGGTGTCAAAGAATAGCACAGATTTGTTAGTTAGAGGTTCTGAGTTCTAATCTTCTCTCTGCTATTTGGATGTGCCCAATCATTTCATTTGTTTGCTTAAGTTTTCATCTTCAATGTGGGGATAATGCATAGCTATCTCACAGGTGTTCTGAGGATTAGTTTACAGTGCTTTGAACTTCAACTACCCCAGACTAACACGGAGGTTTTTAACATCCAAGGTCTGGCATACTGTGCCATGGTTTAGCTTATTTCCCCTCATATCTTCAAAGATCCACATTTGGGTTTATTTCACTATATAGTATGTTTAAAAAAAAAAGCGAGCATTGCTAGATTTGAGAATGCCCATTCTAATTATCAGACACAACAGCCTGCTTCGTGGTATTTTTTCCCCTTTTCCTCTTCTGTCAAACATGAGATGTTGTTTCTATTGTTAGAGAATCAACATTAATGATAACACGATTTAATATTTTCAAACCAATTAACACTAATCATTAATGCATTATAAATCATTGAAACATCGCCTGCTTTCCAAAGGTAGCTAGATTTTAACACAAATCATCTTTTTTTTTTTTAAATCCCCTTCAACTTCTTGGCAAGCAGGAAAGCTGAAGTTCAATGGAACATTTCCTGTTGACTTGAATAAAATAATGATCAGGGTTTATAATGAATGTAGGCTGAGAAATATACCACATTCCACCTGAAGCTACGACACGACATTTAATGAGTATTTAAATGGAAAATGTCAGTGGTGTGATGTTATCCTTTGGAGGTGGGGACATTAAGTCACAAGTGGAAGCAAAGAGGTATCTTAGCATTATACTTAGTTTATGGTGCCCTGTTTACAATGTGATTATGTCTCTTCTATCTTTGAGAGTTTCACTTCCCTGAATTCAGTGAAATCATCATACAGCCAAATTATCATTTCCATACTGTTAATATTGATAAAGTACTCTTGTTCCTCACAGGAAGGATGCTCTACTAGTTCAAAGAGAGGTTTTTATACCATATATGCGATTGTATTGTGTGCAGTATAATATGAGAAAAATGCAGTCCACTGTAGTAGGCAATTTAACTCCTTTTTAATGTGTCTTGGTGCTGGGCAACAGTAATTTAGCCAGTACTCTGGTCACTGCCTCTCTAATTAAGGCCTCATTAAGAAGACCTGTGTCTAATTGATGAGCTAAGATGAATGAAGAAGCTAGTTAGGCCCTTGAAAAGCTTATTGAAAAGGCACAGGAAGAAAGGGAGAGAGCAGAAAAGAGAGGGGGAGAAAAAATGTTCTGTTTGCTTTCTTCATGAGCATTGAGCTCCCAAGAACTGTTGGCTTAAGGCTGTATAGTGTGTAGGATGGTGGAAACGAATATTGTAAACAAACTGCCTGAGATGTTTTACCAGGAAAATTGCACATCATCATCCTAGGCCTCACATTTTTCTGTCGAAGGTAGGTGTCCAGGCAGAGACAGGTGCATCCTGGAGGTTTGCAGACTTAAGCAGAGGTAGAAGTGAGCGGGTCCTGCTATAACAATATGCAGAGATTTTTCACTGAATCACTGAATCAGAACTCACTGCACATGGGCCCCGTTATAAACCATCCTTGTTGTGGCCTATTAGGTCTGTGCCATTGCATGTTCCTTGTTTTAAACAAG